GAGTGGGGTGCGTCATCCCTCCCACATTACCGTACCCGTATTAGCCAGAAAGGTTAAAAAAAAATCAGTAGTTATATGGAACCTAGAAATAAGGCTTGCATTAAATGCACAAAAAAGCAAATATAAAATAGGTCTACTATTAGCGGTGATTTTAAATCATTAAACGATTGACGCTTTGTAGAGGTGTGAACGCACCATTCTTTAAAGTCTATCAATAAAAGACAATGGCCACCGCTCTCGTCTAACCTACACCGCTAGCGCCTCGCGTACCGTTACCGTCAAAGTGACCAATCAGAGATGGACGCTCTTTTGTCTTACCACAAGTTAGCAGTGACATGAGCAGACAGAGAATATAAATATTACTGAACTTCTGTCTAAATTATCATATCGCTCATTGAGTTCATTTAGTACAGTTAATCAAAAAAATTAAGTTTGCTCCTGAAACCATTTTATTTAAAGTTTGATCCTGAATCATGTCTGACCAAGAACGAGTTTCACCAGTCTTTTACAATTTGGCCTGTGCCCCTGACTCTGACAGGGCATCTCCCGTGTCAACTACCAGTTCTTCAAATGGATCGGAAACATCATCAAATGCAAGTTCATCAAATCGACGGGGTAAGGGTAAGCTGCGACCAGACTACAAACGCCGTATCATGCTACCTTATTCTTACGTCGAGATGATCACTATGGCCATTAAATCTTCATCTTCTGATAAACTGACTCTTCGAGACATTACCAACTTCATGCAAGACAAATTCCATTGCTTTCGTGGCGAATACGTCGGATGGAAGAACAGTGTTAGACACAATCTATCTGCTAGTGAGTGCTTCACTAAAGTTCTACGAGATTCCAATCGACCGTATGGTAAAGACAACTTCTGGACAATGAATACAGAATGTGAACATTGCAAGAATAAATTTGAGAACGATGTTGTGAGCAAACGAATCCTTTCTAACCTCACACCTATCTCCGATTCAATTCCACCTGTGTCTCCTGCTGCGAGTGAGTCATCTACCGACCCTGCTGCATACAACCAAACCAAACTACTCAACCACCCTACAACTGAAATGTCTAGCTGTCAACGCATGGCGCATGGTACCAACACCGCTGCACCACACTACGACGATAGGTACTACGACCAATATTCATACACTGCTCATCGTGGTTCCCGTCGTCATCATCGCTATCATCCTTACATACCTCCGCAGAGCCACTGGCAACAAAAACGTCATCCAGTGGCACAGCAAGGCACCAAATCCGTGGCGACTCTTGATGATCTGTATGTGACGGCGCATGACATCGATTTCTCCCTGATGTACAGCAATTCGAAAACGCTCATTAAGGTTGGTTTACTTAAAGTATTATAATTTTTAAGTTAAAAATTTAGTTGATTTTTTCTGAATATTGTATTGAACAGTTTAATTAAATTTCTTGAGGTTTCCTCAAATAGGCCTATGTTGGCAGGCGGCACACCAACAACATACCATGTAGCAGATTTTTTTGGAACTCGGCTACTGTTTCATATATAATTTCATGGACATAGAAAATGCACTATCGTATGACAATTGTAGTTTAATTTATTTTTTTATATTTTTTGATTTATGTAACAGGAGCAGCCAGAATGCCACGTGCCGTATTCTACGTACTATCCTACTGGTTTTCAAGGTTATGAGACGCCCTACTACTATCCATATATGGACTTCCGTCTACCAACTCCGTACCAGCTTCCACAAGACCATTACGATTGGCAGAGAGCGCCATCAGTTGACAACAGGGTAAATCATCATCCAAATCCATACGATTTCGTTCAGCAAGTCTGTGATGTTCCATCGTTCCCATCGTCGCCTTCGTCAATTCATTCGTCTGATTCTTCTTCATCAGATTCAGCTATGTAGGCTCCAGCTTCTCTTTTGTCAAATGATTGTTCTAGGTTGTTCTAGGTTCAAAGATCATTTTTAGACCGTGATTATTGCATTGAAATATACTGATTTAATCATATTAACAGTAAGTTACCGTTAAAATGTTTTGTAACAGGTGGTCGTGATTATAGGAAGGACGACTAATGTAGGCCTAATATACTTATTAAGTGGCGTAGGCCTATATCATATTTTTATCAGTTCAGTCAGTCGATGTGCAATGTATATAAATGAATAGATATGTTTGTCGATGTTTTATAAGCAATTATCTAAGTGTATATGGGTTAACCCTAATAATTTGTATTTATGAGTTTTATGTAACATAAATAAGATTGATGAGTATATTTTGGTAAATAAATACCATTTTTGAAATATATCAGTGATGTTTTGTTAAATTATTTATACTGTCCTGAGTATTGTGTGTGAGAGACGGAATGACAGTGTGATAAGTAAATTTAGTATTGTTCCACTCATGAAATCGCTCCACAGAACAAGAACTTACTCAATAAAAAGAGGAATGGCGAGAGACGAAGAGTGAGAGCTTTGTGATTTATTTAAGTAAATTTATTATTTCATTCATCATAACACTATATTACAAAGAACACAAGTAAAATACTGAACGACTACAATATAAAGACATATATACAATTTTTATATTATATTACGCATTTACTTTGATCAATGTTTTAATATTTTTACTGTCATTTGTATAATGACCGGATTTCCGTTTTCGGAGCAATAAAGTTTACCTTATCTTCTTATACTTAGTACATCTATTATGAGTTTGAATAATGAATTGCTAAAAAATATATATACAACTACCGTATACTGTGTCTTTTGTATAATGTCAGAAAGCACATAAAAAATAGGCGTTTATAACAAAAACGCAGCGTTTGTTTAATAGAATAGAATACAGCAATTTCTATGAGATCTTCTATTCTTTTAACGCTTATTGTGAATGCGCATGCGTACATCGTCGGTACCATCAATGGTCCGTTTGATTGCTCGACAAACTTTTTTTGAGCTTTTTTAAGTAGCAAGTTCTTCATTCATTCATCTTTGATTTAAAACATATTACTAGTTGTATTGGTTACTAAATAACATGGCAACATTGTAGGCCTACTTGTAATGATGATTTATCTGAACCGATCAGAAACGTGCTGCGCCCAACTCCACATTGTGTTATAACGTTTTATTTTGTCTAATATCACTATTTCATTTAAAAAAGCTTCCAGTTGTATTATGTTTTCAATAAAGTTTAAAGTTCGTAACAATAGACCTAGTAGTAGGAGGGTTAATAAAGAATTATAAATTATAGGTGATTTTAATAACAAGCCTAATCAATGTGTGACTGTAAAAGTTATCTTGTGAGGTAGCCATTTCGACCCTATATAAATAATTATGAATATGTTTGTAGGCCGGTTATTTCCAACATAATGTGCCATTTTATTTATTATAACGCTGATTTTAAATTATAACATAATGTGCCATTTTATTTATTATAACTCTGATATTAAATCATACTTTAAAAGTTTGTCTTCAGACTTATTGTGGTCTCCATCCACACACGTTTTTTTTTATTATATATTTTTTTAAACTTCTAAATTGTATTCTAATAGGTATAATTAAAAAAAAATATACTGTATTATACATTGTGTGTGGAAAAAAGCAATAAAACAGACATTTTGATAATCGACATTTATTATAGGCCTATCAACACACAC